GGTCAGTTTTCCTCGAGTTTTTCGAGGATGTATCCTCTTTCCCTGGGTTTCAGCTCTTCCGCCTTCTTTCCTGATGGGAGGGCTCTGCCGCGGCTCATGGTTGCCATGGTAGTTGTTCGGGTATAGTAACCTGATTTGTAGGCTGAAGACATCTTCAGCCCGTCAATTATCTCATCTACACAAGATATTGCTTTTAACATCTCCTCGTTTGAGGAGAAGTCTGCTCTGATTCTATCATGAGCAATCATTTCCCTCTTCCATTCGAGGGGAATGTAGTTTAGGAACCTGGCGTTGAAGGACGCCTGGTCTGGCGGCGTCACCATCTGGGACGCTGCTTTTGACAGTTCTAAGTAGAACTGTTTTAGGCCTTTTTCCGCTTCGTATTTGACGTTGCGGTATTTCTTTGTCGCGTTCAATGTGGTGGAGGCTTTGATGAAGGTTCTCATCAATATGTTGAGAACTTCGAGGAACATGCCCTCGTCTCCTCTGAGGAGAGTTTCGTCTCAGAGTCTAATTCCGAGGTCAAACGCGGGCCCCCCTAATCCATGAATCAAGCAGTCCAGGTGGACTTCGTCAAATTGGGGACCTTTGCATCCTCATGAGGCGAGGAATCCCAGTAGTTCTGTGAACCACTGCCAGAATGATTCCATGTCGTTCTCCCCTGACCATTTCTTGTCAGGGAATGCCGGCCCATTCTTTAGGGCTTCTGGCTTCACTCCTTCTGGGTAGGGAGTGAGTATTCTCACTTCAGCCATTCTTATGGCCTTTTTGTACCATTTCTCCAGGTACTCTTCTTGCTCCCCTGCCTTCGCGGGGTTGCTATCCAATGGAGATCTCTCCTTTGGGGGGTTTTTGCTGGGGGAGATCTTCCTCGCAGCGTTTCTTTGGTTTCAGGCAAATTCGCCTGAAGTTGTATTTGTATTCTCTCATTGTTTTGAGAGGGTGTGAATGAGTTACCTCTCTGTTCGAGAGGTCCGTCATAAGTGGACGTTTGGCCGAACCTTTGGTATGTGCCAATTCTCCTTCTAATCTCTGAACGATGCCTTCTTTCGGCATCGTCTTCTCCTATCCTTGGGAGAAGGATCTCCTTAGCATCTCTGTCGAGTTGCTGATGATATTCCAGTGTGCTTTCACTGGTGGTTCTTTTCGTGAATTTTTCACGAGTTCTATTTGTCCTGGACCGTGGTCCAGGGGTGTTTATTTGTTTCCTCACTTTTTTGTGAGAAATTTATTTCCTTCAGCAAGTCTGTTTGTTCGCTGATTTTTTCAGTCAATGTGTCGATTGCGTTGGCCTTTCTTTCTAGAGTTATCTCTAGATGAGCTGTACTATTATGGTTCGTTTCCTCAATCTTTTTTTGGATCGAGTTTATCGTGTTTATTATGCGCGATTCCTGGTTTTCCAGGAGGAAGTTTGGTTGGGCGAGCAGAGACTCTCCCCAGTTGACATTTCCGCTTCTGGGGGTTCCAGAATGGGTTCTTGGAGTGAACACTCCATGCTCGCTTTGTTTAGGTGAGGCTGTTGTGGAGGGTGCTTCCCTTTCATAGAGGGGTCTGTTCGCTGGTTTTTCCTTACTTTTACGTAAGGCTTCCTCAGCGAACTCCCTCATTTCAGTTCGCCTCCTCTTCATTATCTTGGAGACCTCCTCCAAGGTTGGTGACCTTGCCTTGTCTGGCATGGTGTGTGGGAGTGTAAACAGCGGAAGTTCTTTTGGAGCTTCCGCGCTCTGGGAGATCCTGCTCTCAGGGCGTATCTTCGCGCCTTCTCGGGCTTTCAGCCTGAGAAGAAGTTGATCATCACTTTCCGTCCTCCATTCAGATGGAACCTGGAACAAGTCCAGTAGTTTTTCGGATAGCTGATGCAGGGGCTCTTCCCTTTGTTTCCCTTTGTCTGCCTTTGGGGCTTGACTTGGGGATGTGAGGGGGACTCCAGGGGATAGTGGGGCCCTGGAGTTTCCTGCGACTCTATCCGATCAGCTTTTTGGGCTGATCGTTCGGCGCTTACGCATTTTTCGCGCAAGTCGATCACCTCGTGAGGAGGTGAGGGATCTTCCCCAGCTTGGGTTAGATCAGTATGTTGTGGAGTTCTGGGGGTATTTTACCCGCACTTACTCCACGTAAGTTTCTAAAACCTTCAGGGACCAGCCCTGAGGTGGTTGCTAATGCCAGATCATGTTAATCCTCGTCGTCGTCTGACAACGGCTTTTGGTTTGAATCTCCCATGATGGGAGATTGCGGTTTCTTAATAAACCGCTCGTTTCTTTTTAGTGTCACTGCAGATGCGACCTTGCCCTTGCGGGCGTGTTTAGGTGCCATAGGCGCTTCTGAGTCAGATGTTAAGATTGTAGAGTTGTGGGTTGTGTTGTAAAACACACCTCATACACTTAAAAAAGTGTGAGGTCTTTGGGTAGCTCAGCACACAAGGCTGTAAGTGATACAAGTTTGTGTATTTTACGGTGGTGTGTAAGCAGTTACCCGGAGGTTCCCGCTTGCCCACGTGACTATATGTATCTAATTTACATGTGGCTCGGGGTTCGGGGCTATTGCCCTGACAGTGGCATCCTTCAAGTTTGTCTTTGGGCACGGAAGTCCAGCCTGGCGCCCACTATTAAGGCCGGTGTGTGGCAATTATTCAAGTTTGTTTGGGCTCGAAAGTCCAACCCGGCGCCCACTGTTAAGGCCGGTGTGTGGCATTCAAGTTTTGTGTTGGGCCCGCAAGTCCAGTCTGGCGCCCATCTTTAAGGTCGGACTTGGCACCCCTTCGAAGTCCTGGAAGGCAGTAATTGGCACCCCCCTTCTCTCCTTGCTCTAAGTCCTCAGACAGGCATGCAACACTCTTATTTCCCTTCCCTTCCTTGCCACGTCACGATTTTTTCATTTTCCCACGGTCCAAGCGCGCTCGCAGCAACCCAATCCCACCTTGCACCAAGCACCAGCAGGCCATTGGGGCCACTCCCCGACTGCCTTACCACAGCACACTGTGGATTCAGAGGGTGATCCCTCCTTTCAAATATTGTATTGGTCCCCATGCACACTTTTGGACAAGTTGAACACCCGGGATCGCTGAGAAGGCTCACTTCACCGACTGCCTGGCATGGCATCCACTCAAAATTGGAAGGCATGAAATCCCTGTTGATTAATGGACTAACAACCTTGGCCACGCATCCATTGGATTTTACCGCTTCCACATTTCTTTCACCGCTTCATTCTCATTCAATCTTTTCTTTCCTATCCCTTTCCTGTTAACGTTGTTTCGAATTTCATTTCCACATTATACATTTATGTCAGACTATTACTTTCTTCTTCATTTGAGAGGGTGTGTTGAGGAACAACCTCGAAGCATGTATTTACTATTTTGTGACATACTTTCCTAATTAAGAGTCTATAACAGTCCACCATATTCTCGTCCAGCCGCCCTCAACTTGGTTTTCTCTACAGATAACACATAAACTGGTAGCACATCTGACCTATGCATTTTCATCGGCTGTTGGATAGTTGTAATAAAACACCATGAAATGTTTCCCGGGTGTTCGAACGATATACGGGATTTTCCGACAAATGTATGGTTTAAACTCGTGACCAAAATGTTTGGATCCGTAAGCCAGCCGCAATTCATAAATCACCCAATCGCCGGCCTCTGCCGACATTAAGATCCCTCACACCTAACGACATAGCACACCCTTCGCCGCTGTTACTGAACAACATGGAACCCCAACCCCTACCCCGAACGCCAGAACAGTTAAGGCCAGAGCTAAGCGATGAACAATGGAAAGCATATAGCCGGTGCCTTTCCCTAGAGAAGTTGGGTGGATGGGGTATCCACGTTCCTGAGCTTCAAGAAGCTTACTCGGAGGACATCATGGCCCAGTTCACAGCGTGCAAGGTTGCACGTATCCTTGGATATTGTTTGCTTGCGGCACCTAGTAAGCAAGGGTGTGATGCATTGACCCGTGAGATCCTTGGGTGTGCCGGCAAGGCACAAAGTTAGAGTGTGCAGACAAGGAGGAAGCAGAGATGTTGGAGCCTGTGGGCCAGGTGGAAGCAGAGATGTTGGCTGGGCTCGCCCATTTGTACATTTATGGGCTAACTCGTGTGTGTGAGTTCTTTTTTATTCATTTCCAGCAGCTTTTGACTTGCTCTCTAGTTTTCAATCCAAAGGCCGTACACCCATACTGTCACCAGGTCAAAGTCCCAGAGGCTCCTTCGAGCAAGCAGAGAAAAGGGCCGCAGATTGGCTGCTATGGCGCCGGGCCCCCTATGATAGCCTGAAGCAGCTCGTGAGTATGTTTTACTGACCTTGTTGTTATCCCCTCATCGGTGCATTCGGCCAGGTCTTGCTTCGTGATGACCATCGCTGTGCCTTCACTGGTCTTTTGGATAAGTCTTTTGTGGGTTGTGCACCAAGGCAACTCGAATTCAGAGGAAAGCAAGTCAACGTGACTGGAATGGATGTGGAGCGGACAAAACCCGACCTCGGTGAAAACATATGTGGCTCACATTATCACAAAGTCGCTATCGGAGGACATCGAGGGCCAGTCAGAAGGGGTAAAGGCTAAGGTCCTTGCTTTTCCTCATGGTCTCTGTATCTCCTAATCTGTTTAATTCAGTTCCAGTGGGCAAAGAAGGCAGTGGCATTGATCGAGCGGTTTGGAGGGTTTTCCTTTACAGAGCTTGGGATTCATGGTCTGGACAATCCGTTGAATGTGTTCACAACATCAGATACGCCGCACAAGCAGTTTGACGCCCTCAACCTGTGGTTAGTGCCAGCTCTAGTACGTTTCTTTGCCACCTTTTACCCTTGTTTTTGGATTGACTTGCTGTTATCTAGGATCAAAACCGTGCCGTCATTGCCAATAATACATACGCTCCAGAACACTCTGGGGGCGATGTGGCACTGAAGTCATTCGGGATTCAGAAAATTGTCAAATTCAAAGAGGCTAAGACTGAAGATGGTCAGGTCGTCCCCCCTCCTGACCCACGTCTCCTTGCCCTGCATGCTGCTTGTGCATGGGTTCTTCATTCATCTGGCGCCATAGAGCATGTGCGGGAGTTTCTTCTTCGAGAACCTGAACCGATCTCGCTCATGACAGAGCCAAATGCAGCTCCAGAACTTCACTTCGCGCTAGAGAAGTTGCAGTACTTTCGGCACGTTTCCACGATGGCCTAGTTATGGTTTTCACTTATCTCTCACTCCACTTAACCCTTTACTTTGATGTTGTGTGTGTTTATCTGTTCCATGTCTCTGTGGATGTTGTACCCGCGCAGGAAAATGACTGTATTCCAAAAAAAAAAAGATCATGTGACGTTTGTGGATGATCATACTTGTATCTCGGAATTTGAGGATCCGGATCCAAACCTGAGCCCGAAACGGATGGATGGATTCATTCGGTCCGTGCCGTGGTGGGCAAAGGGAAAAAAACGGGAAGTCGGTTTCTTTGCTTCCGTTGGTGTTTCCCCATATGTCATGTAACCGTGCAATCCCTGCGCTCCTGCCACGTTTTCGTTCATTTGTTCGAATATTCGGCTTTCTCCCCTTCCTTCCCTTCCTTCCACATCGCGGTCACGTTACAGTCACGTTCTCGTTGCAGAACGCACGGCCACGGCAGCTCCACTCACCAGCTCATGCCTCGCCTCGCTGACGGGGTACCTGCGGCAGCCCAGCCCTAGCGGTGCTGCACGAGAGTAAAAAAGACAAGACGAGTGAGTGCGCCGCACTCTTTCTCTTTCTCCATTTCTTTGTTTTCTCTTGCTGACGATCGATCTCTGCCGTTCCTCAGGGCTGTAGCCATCCCCCCCGGACGCGCTGTATCTCCCTCACCCACAACATCCCATCCTCGCCGTTTTGGACGAAGCTGATGGTGTTGGATTCGCTCGTGGGCTTTCGAACGCAGTGCGGTGCCGTTCCGTCCGGTTGGGGGAACATGCAAATCGCGCGCACGGCCCTTTTCTGACGCCTCACCGTCGCCGCCGCCGTCAATCGGCAAAAAAGACCCATTTTGCTCGACTCCAACGGATGGTATTCGAGCCAGGCACGTACGGTGAGATGTTCTAGCCGTAGGTCTCCTCGTCGAGAGGCAAAGCCTTGAAGCTGGCGCTCTGACTGCGAACGCGGAGGGTTCTGAGGTTTCCATGGATGGTATGTCGCTAGCCTCCTCTGTTGCCTTGACGTTAACGAAGAATGTATAGTTTCTGCATGTACCTTTTCTCGTCCCGCCACAGCCAAGTTACAGCGAAATATCAAAGCCTGACCTCAAATGAGTCTCGTTCTCGTCCAACCACCATTGTATTGACGACCGCCGCTCCAGACACTACCTTCTCCCCATTCGCATCGTAGGAAATAACTATGTCCAGACACTCAGAGACACTCCCTTCGCTTCACTGCCCCTCTATCCCCAAACCATCGCTTTCCGCCTTACTTCAAGTGGTTCGCATCGCGCCCATGGCACTGGTCAAATCACAAGGTCCCCCCACCACCGACTGTAGCGATTCAGGTTCTCAATCGAGCATTGACCTGACTCGACCAAGTGTGGTCACGCCCTTCCAGTATGGCCTCCTCATCCTCGGGAAATCAGATCAGAGTGAGGGGACAGGGCCATCGACGACCGTCTGTGTCTCGTGGTTCCAGAGTCGAGACTATCATGGAAGAAGTTCCTGGTCTCGCTTCTCTACTCATCCTGGAGTTCTGTGTCTAGTCTGGTGTCGCCAGTGCCTTCAATGCCGGTTGAGATTGTGAACGCCAAAACAGGCGAGCCTGAAGTTGATGTTGTGGAATGGGATAACGATGATGGCAGCACTGAGATTATGCGCCGGTATCGTGCTTTAGGCAAAGAGGCTTTTGATATCGTTCAACAGAGTAAGCACGACTGGGCTGACACCGACTTCTCACGCTTTGCATTGGCTTGTGAGTGCCCTTGCTGTTCAGGCTCATATTCCTCCCCAGCATTTCAACCTCCTCAAGAACCTGCTGCCCTTCGGGCCTTTTATGATTATTCTGTGAGGACTTACACGCACTTGCCATCTGAGTTGTGCCACAGACGACAGCGGCGAAACTCTCGCCCAAGCTCGTATGGCTCACGTACTCCAAAGAAGGCGTTTGCTCCTCGCCTTCCCAAGCAGCACCACAGCCATACTGAGAGCATGGAACATGCATTTACATGCATTTCACCTCCGGCTTTGGCTGTCATCCCACCAACATCCCCATTTGTGATTGATCGTTCCTTCTCTGCCGTTGGTCTTACCCCCTTACACCCGAATTTGCCATCGCAGACTATAGACCCTCTCGAGATGCATCAACTAACTAAAGCAGTGGAGGCAGATACATGCAAGCCTAGGCCGCGTTAACGCGTGGCCTCCAAAAACCCATTGGAGTGCCCTTGGGTGGAGCAAACAACGTGGTACTGAGCCAGTCAGACACGTTCAGGCAGCTTCCCCTTTGAAGAAGTCCGCGACTGCTAGATTAAACGAGAATATTGGAGATGTCAGAGGTGAAGCCATGGGACTTGTCATGAGGTCAGCTGCAATGACACGTTGATATTCGTCACTAATACGGTGTCTTGTGTAGCCCAACTGGTTCTCTTTGCCTCTCTCGCCCTTGTCCCAAGAGCAGACCTCAATCCATGCTTTCCTGGGCTTGATACGTGGCTCAGGCATGTTGGGTTTTGTCTACAGGATGATGCCCCTACTGTTTATAAAGTGTGTGCTTTATTTACAACATGTCATTGTCAATGGTCGTTCATTACTGGTATCCACAGGAGGTTTGTGTGTAGATGATGCGTGGCATTGCACGAAGAAGACCCTTTCACCGCATTGTACTTGTACTATGTGTTGTGCCCCCTGCTCCATCATCAGGCCATTCCATAGTCTTCATGTAGATAGTAATGTAACTGTGTGTGGTGTGTGCGTGATTCATTCTAGGATGCCCACCCTATCACCAGCCTGTCAATGTCAACCCTCTTTGGGCAATTGACGCATCGTGAAACCCGTCAGACTCCGGACTGCCCCAATGGTATGAAAGAAACTAACGGACACAATCCCTGGGTGTTGTGTCCCTTGCCGATGGCCTTGTGCTTTGATGTGACACGTGAAACTCGGTGCCGAGGCTGGCCCATTCATCCATCCCAGTACTTGTGCCCACTATGCCCAAAGTTAAGAAGGGATGTCATCTGCCGAAGCATGCAACTTCGAATGTGCGGAAGAAGTTGGCTCCGCACTCTGAACTGGGGTCAGGCCCCACTTCTGCACTGGAATTGATAGATATGCACCTCCAGTCCACTTCCACGCAACGGAACTATAGCTCAGCGATAACTAATGCTAAGAAGTGGTTGGAAGAGAACTGCCTCAAGTACAGTAACCCCCCCTTGGAGGGTGAGGATCCAAATCCGGAGGCATCTCTTTTCCAACACAAGGATGCTCCGTTTGCTTTCGACAAACCTGTGGAAATTACTGCCAAACTACTGGCTGCATACATCACATTCCGCGCTACTGATCAGAACAAGTCTGTCTCAACTGTAGACATACTTCACTCTGCATTCAAGTGGCACTTCAGGAAACTGTGAGTAGTGACATAAAATTTACAAAGTGAAAAGTGATCATTTCTGATTCCCCTCTAGAGGATTTGAGGGCACTTGGCATCCACACCCTGATCCTGAAAAGTGCCAGGGAAACCCATGTGAATCCAGTCTGATCATTGATCTTGTCAAATCTGTGAAGAATTTGTGCACATCTGAGGGAACTATCCGGAATCATGCAAGGGCAATCCAGATTAGCGACATTAAGGCTATTCAGGCTGTCACTGCTGCTCAATGTCCTCCAGATCTGATTAGCAAGGCTCTTTCTTGACCCTAGTATTCCCAGCGAGTCCTTCACCCTTAAACAACGTGACAACATCTGCTCCCACCTCATGTTGTGTACACTAACATCTTTGGGCTGGACTCTATGGACTCGGTACCTACATCTCTGCTGTACCGACCCTTGATTCATACTTCATCTTTTGACATAGGAATGAGGAACTCACTTCAATTCTTATTCAGCATCTTGATTGGGGACATGAGGAAGTCAGTCACAGCCTTCCACATCTGTGGGTCACCCTGGTGAACTGCAAGGGCTGGCAAAAACAGAGCCATAGTGATGAGTCTGGTTGCCAAGGTAAATTAAATCCAGTGGCCATCAGTCTATTGCTGGCCTGAGTCCGAGTTTATAGGGACACGGTACAATATCTATCCCCTCTATGGCATGGACACATTTTCCCAGCATGATGGACCCAATGTGACTCCAGAGCTTGATGCATATTGCCATGTGAGGCACTGGACTCAGTTTCTTTCTCTGCGATATTGTAGTGGAAAACCCTTGAAGCCTCACTATCCCCTCTTTCCCTCCTGCTCTCACCGTTCTCATGACATTCACTGGAATTCAACACTCTCAACCACCACCGTTAATGATCTCCTTGCCTATTATGGAAGGCAAGTGCAACTGGAGACTGACAGACTGACATCGCACTGCTTCAGGCGTGGTGGTCTTCAGTACTGGTTTGCTCTTGCACCGGTTTTCAGAAGGTGGCCACTTCATCAGTGCCAGTGGTGGGGTGGATGGGCACCTGGAGAAAATGTGAGTCTACACTGTATATCTCATCCACATTCCCAAGGCTCTCACAATGTTCCAGCCATCTACACTCCTCAAATATGCTATGGATATGCTGATCACCACAGAAACAAATTATGGTGACTCACTTGCCCTGGTTCACATTGACAACTTAGAGTCTCAAAATGGAGCGATGTCACAACTCAAAGCAATGACTGCAGAAGAAGCTTGCTCTCAGTTTGGCCATCTGGCTGAATACATGGCCCATTTTGAGGAACACATGGGCCGGTATGAGGAACACATGCACCACTTCAGGCATGGGCTCCGAAGCATTGATGAAAGATTTGCTTCATTCCAAGTCTCACTGGATCAACTCAGGCACATGATAGGCTATCTTATTCCTCCTCACCCCGTTACCTTCCACCACCACATTACTGGTATGTCTGCACAGTAATGGATTGTACGTCCCTAATGGTTCAGCTAGGAGGACCCACTCAGTTAATATGGCCACAGCCAACCTTACCCAGTGCTCCTCCCCCCCTTCCTCCCCCCAGCCCTGTCCCTTCCTCTCCACTTGCCCAGTCTCTATCCCACCCTCCTTCAGGCTCCAGTCAGCCCCAAGAGCACCATGATGATGATGGCCAACCCGCTCCGGGCACTGAGCACACCACCATTCCCCCAGTCCACATGCTTGAGGATGCCATCAAACAATGGCTGCATGGGGATGAGAATGAG